TCCAACTGTGGTGAAAATGAATAAGGAAACTGGATCCTGCCTCTGCAAGCAGGATACAGGCTCCACACTAATCAAAAAAGGAAGAGTCATTGTTAGACAATATTTCATTTCTCAGACTTTGAAGAATTCCTACATTTGTCAGAGTAGCTCTGAATCATTTTGTGGCTGCCACAGGATTAGAACGGAGATATTGTACAAGCATGAGTCTTTGCAAGAAAGTTTCTTTTTCCTCCCTTCTAAATGAGCTGGCTTTGCTGTTCTGAGTCACTGTAATTCAAATCTCATAATTTTACCTTCTTCCCTTCTAATCATTTTACCAGATAATAATTTTAAGGAGGAAAGGGTTGCAATTTTTAAAAAAGAGTGGGGGCACTCACGTACCCTCAAGTGCATGTAACTATGAAGTGTCAATAAAGTATTGGCACGATAGCCAAATGAAAGGAGAATGAAGTTTTGGGAACCTGTGTTTGCCAAACCAAATCTGGATGGGTAGTGGAATTGTGAACCAGTTCTGGTGAAGGGGACTTAACAGCTGAATCCCCGAGTGACTCTCCTGGCTCTGAGATGGAGGAATGGACTTCCCTGTGTCTTACCCAGCAGAGAAACCAGCAGAAACTACTCTGTAGTACAGTCATCTAAGAACACTCAGAGATAAAAATGTTGACAACCACAGGCCACAGTGCTTTGAGATTCTGTTGGACATAATGCAGAGGAAAACCACCAAGAAGCTGACTGAAGCTGGTTTTAACATTTGGTTAATAAAGCCTATACCATGAAACACAGCAGATGAAAAACCAGCATTCATTAGGAAGGCTTTAGTGCAGGCCGGGGAAGATGATGTTTTGTCCAAGACAGTGGGTGTTCTGATATAGTTGTTTTGGGATTACACAGAGGGAGTTGGAAGCCTGATCCTGCCCTGTGGGAGAATTTCCTTTTTCCATTTGGAGAGGCCAAACTGACCTACAGGAAACTGACAAAAATCCAAATAAGGAGAACATGGGATCATGAAAAATGGTGGGGTGAGTATGAGCAGGTATAGAAGGACACAAAGATCTGTGTGAGATGAGATCCCTTCACAGCCGGCTTATGTTGATATCCTCAGCATTGTGAATTTGTCACAAAAGATAGGGGTTGTATAAGTAAATTTCAATAAAGGTCAACTCTGTACTCTTATTCATTTATCATTTCATCTTACTTAGTTTTATATCTACTGTCTGCCCATGCATTTAAAATTCTGAGTTTCTAAACAATCACACTCTCATACACACGTGTGCTTCCACATCCATATACTCAAGCATATACTCATATGCTTTCACTTGTTTTTGCTTTTTTCTCTTGATCTCACATTCACTTTTTTCTCTTTTCTCCAACATTATTGCCAGAAGTTGGAGAAAGAACTAGAGTAGCACCCACTTTCTCCATGCCTTCACCATCCAATTCACAAAAACCCAAAGATGAATCAGGTGTAGTGATGTGCACCTGTAGTTCCATTCAGGAGGCTGAGGCAGGAGGATAACATGCATTCAGGCATTTGAGACTAGCATGAACAGCATAGTCACACCTCATCTGAAAAAACAAAATTAAAGAAAAAAGACAACACACACACGAATGAAGAATTAGAAAAAGTGGAGAAAGAAAACAAAAATATGATTGGAGCTGAGGGTAGAGGGGTCAGATAGGAGAGAAAAAGGAAATCAGAAAAGTGAAGTCAATAATGGATCATTGCACTTTTCCTCTGTCAAGATCAAGGAGTATGGCTCCTACACTTTATAGCAAGGTAAGAGTCGTATGAAGACTGCTTTGACTTGTATTGACTTATGGAAGAGCAGGGGGAAAACTACAAATCTGCACTCTGACATAAATTCTGGCCATTGTTTTTTCTCAGTTTAGTTTCTTGTGAATATGGCTTATGTTTCTGCATAGGTCCTTTCCATTAAGCCAACTCTAGCACAAAGTGAAAAGGAGAGCTGTTTTAGAACACTGCTTGACTACTCGTTGAACTTAAATGCCTTCTTGGTTAACTTTGTATGGCAGCTTGCCTGGGTCATGGGGTGCCAAGATATTTGGTGAAACATTGTTGTGGATGTTTTTGTGAAGGTGTTTTTATTTTTTTTAATTTTTAATTTTATTTATTTTTTTGGTACCAGGGATCGAACTTGGGACCTTGCGCTTTCGAGGCAGGCGGCGGAACCACTGAACTAAATCCCTGGCCCTGTGAAGATGTTTTTAGATGAGATTTACACTTAACTTGGTGGGCTTACAGTAAGTAAAGCAGATTGTCCTCCCTGATGTAAGAAGGCCTGCATAGAACAGAAGGCTGACCTCCTTATAAGCAAAAGGAATTCTCCAGGACACTATTTTTAGACTTCATCTGCAACATCAGCTTTTCTGGTTTTCCAGCAGAAGGCCTTTGGGCTTTACATGTAGCTCTTTCCTGAGCAGGTCTTACCTATCTGGTTTTAGACCTGTCCAGCTCTACAATCATATGATTTTTAAAAATAAATCTGTCTGTGGCCGGGGATTTAGCTCAGTGGTTTCACCACCTGCTGCACAAGTGCAAGGACCCGAGTTCAATCCCTGGTACCAAAAAAATAAAAAAAATCTGTCTGGGGGCCAGGGATTTAGCTCAGTGGTTCTGCCACCTGCCTCTCAAGCACAAAGTCCAGAGTTCCATTCCCTGCACCAAAAAAAAAAAAGAAAAAAAATCTGTCTGTTGGCTTATCAAGCACACACACACACACACACACACACACACACTATACTCACACAGCATCATGTAAGTGGACAAACAAGGTTGAGGTATAGCAAATGTGTCCTTGTCTTTCCTAATCAACACCATAACTAAGGAGTGTGGACCAAAGCGGCAAGATCCCAGGATCTTAAGTCAGCTGGCCTGGTTCATGCATAAATTCTGTCACTTCCTTGCACTCTGCCCTGGATAGGTCACCTACACCCCAGAAACTATTGCTTAGATGCCTAAAGCATTGCCAATCTCTAGCATATTCATTTTGTATCATTACTATAACAAATTACCACAGATTCAGTACCTAAAACAACATAAATTTATTATCTTATATTTCTGATGTCAAATCAAGATATCGGTTGGGTTTCTGAAAGCTTCAGGGAGGAGTCCATTCTTGACCTTTTTAGCTTCTAAGCTGTTTGCATTTTGGGGCTCATGACCCCTTCCTCCCATCACTCCAACCTCCTGCTTCTGTTGTCACATGCATTATTTCCTGATCTGCTTTCCTTTTATAAGGATCTTTGTGATTACACTGGGATCACCCAGACCATCTAGGATAATTGCCTCATATCAGTACCCTTTGTCACTTAACACAAAGTCTTCTTTGATATATACAGTAGTATTTACAAGTTCCAGTGATTGGGATATGGATATCTTTGGTGATGTTGGGTGTCTTAGTTGATTTTCTCATTGCTGAAACAAAATACTGGATGCCCAGAGTTAAAGGAGGAAAAGTTTATTTGGCTTAAAGTTTGTAGAAGTTTCATTTCTTAGTTGGCAGGGTGGCATGGCAGAGGGGCATTGTAGAGAATAAACAGTTCAGGGCAAAGCAGGGTAGGCAGAAGGCAGCATGCAGCAAGCAAGCAACTAGCAACAAACAACAATAGCAGCCTTCTTTCAGTATGTTATAGTTTAACTAGTCTACCTTGCCTTAGGCCATGTAGCACTCATACCCTTAATCCTAGCATTGCATCTTTGATCCCAGCATCACACACCCTGACATCCAGTCCCCTCTGAAAAGTCCCACCTATGACTCTCTGAGGCCCTGGGGGGACATCTAGATACAAGCCATAACAATGGGACATTATTTAGCTTACATACCTGGTCACCGCAAATATTTGGTTATATGTGACACTTGAGGTAGGGAAGGAGTCTAAGTTTCAGAGCTAAACCATTTCATTTTTTAAAAAGCACTCTTTTATTTGGTGAATGCAGAAATTTGCAATAAAGAAATGCTTTTTTGGATCTACAGAGACAAACTTATTGATACTGTATTTTTTGTTAACAACAGCATATCTGTTCTTAGAATCATTACAGAGTAAACCTTCTCCTCAAAAATTAATATAAAATGTTTCAAAGTATATTATGGTTGGGACTAGGGATGTAGCTCAATGGTAGAGCACTTGCCTAGCATGTACAAAGACTTGAGTTCAGTTTCTAGCACCAAAAAAAGTTTGATATTGTGGTCATATAGGGACAAAAATCTTTGTCCCCTGGCATGTTTACTAAGCTTTCTAGTTGAGTTTTCTGTAAGTGACTTTGACAGGAATTAAAAACTTTTAAGATGGAACTTGAGAAGCTCCCTCAACATACATAATTCAAGTATCATAAATCCACGTCATCATTTGTATTCTAGAGTATGTCATCCCAGTATAAGTTCTAGAATTGTTTTGTACCTTCAACATGCTGAACACAATGTTTGAGAGCCAGTAACTTTCAATGATTCCCTCCTGGCCACAAGACAATTTTAAAGAGACCTGGCCTCTCCTTTTAGGTTTTTTTTTTTTTTTTTTTTTTTGGTACTGGGGATCGAACTGAGGTCCTTGCCCTTGCGAGGCAGATGGTGGAACCACTGAGCTAAATCCCCAGCGGCCTCTCCTTTTTGTGCACTGTTGTATTTTAAGTGCTCAGGGCATTGCCACAACCTTTACTTGGTTTATTCTTAGCAGAGAAAACTTAGTTTTGACTCCATACAAAGAAGAAAACATTGAATAAATCAATTTTCAAAAATCATTCTGATGCTCAGTTCAATGATTTTCTTGGGAAGGCCATAATAATTTCAACCAGCCAATAGTCTGAGCCCAATAGGGTAGTTAAAAGCATTCACTGAATTTGAGCATCCTAGTCTTGCTTACATTTGCCTGTTAATAATGTTTAATGCTGTTCTTGGCCATTCACCTGCTCTCAGGCACACGGACTTCAATTAAATAGCTGAGACTTAATTTAGAACTCAAGGATGATTTATTGTCTCCTTTCCAAGAACATTTTACTACACACAAATATTCCCTCTCCTTCTTGCCCCCCTCTTCCTATTCCTCCTCTGCTTTCAGCCCTCCCCACCTCTGAAATTCTCATTATTTATTTGTCTGGGATTGTATTTGTTCAGTCAATCCAGTTCCCCTTCTTGAAATAGCTCAGTCATTTCAAGCCATGTCAGAGATTTTTGGTTCTGTTACTTCATTGTCCACTTCTGTTTTCTGCTTTTCTTCTTAAAACATGACTTTACTGTTGTAAGGTTACTTTCTTTTTTTTCCATATCAAGTGAACTGCCATTAAGGCAAAGGAGGCCAACCATGTCAAAGCTCCTGTCACTGTGTAGGCAACGCCTAAGAAAAAGCCACCACCTCCACACCATGTCAGGGTGGAAAGAACAACAGATTTTTCTCCATGGAACCTGGTTACTGGAAAATCTAAGAAAATTTGTTAAGGATATATATTAGCACTTCTCATCTTCACCACTGCATATACCAAACATGTTAGATTTAACCATATAAAGTTGCTCTTTTGGTAGTTAGAAAATGGTTGAATATTCAGTCTCATATGATTTAACCTAATCAAGCAATACTTTATATCTTGGTAGAATAAAACAAGCCTTCACTCTACATAGTTTTAATTGACCAAAGGGATTCTGATACAAGTAGATCTGAATGACTTAGAGACAGCTAAATAATGAAATAATAAAGAATTTCTCTTGATGAATCCAAGGAAGTTAATATAGAGGTTTTATAGCAAACCTAAATTTTTATTTTTGAATCAGGAGACCCAGGGAAGACTAAGTTCCCTAATAGGCTAAAGTTTGCATACCTACTTCAGGGAAAAATTTTAAAGGACAGTGAAGAACAAAAATAAATGGATGGATAGATACATAGATAATAGGATAATGGCAAAAGATTTTTGGTGGAAAAATTAAAAACGGTACATTTGTTTGGGTTTTGAAATGGCCAGAATCCTTGCTGCTGGAGAGAAAGTATTTGAAGTGGGTTTGCTATCATTAGTGTTTTAATGATGTCATTTGGATTATGCTTGTGGCCTGAAGTTTTTAAACATCTGGTCTTTTGTAAACAAAACTAATAAACAAAGCCTTCTCATAGAAACAACAGAGGACAGAGGCATTTCCCAGCAAAGCTCTTAAAATGCCTTAAATCACTTAGCAACAAGCTATTTAGAGGCTAGAGATAAAAGAAAACTTGTTAGGAAACTAACTCTCTTTTTCTTTTACATCAGATTTCCTCATTGTCACAGGCCTTAGAATGCCACCTCAACCCATCTGCTGGAGTGTATTCTCTCTCACTTCCTTTTGAAAGGTAGGGTCCCTTTCTCTTACACACAGAACAGCTTTTCTCCCTTAGAAGTGGCAGGCACTGTCTGTAGCACAGGCTTGGTTTTTCTTGCCGGCAGTCTGGCTGTTTGGATGGTTGGGTAATATACTAGGGCCACACACAGGAGATAGAAGTGTAGGACTGAAATTCAGGACCAAAGTTCTGCATGGAGATCTAGTTTTGAGAGTACTCAGCAGTAAAGCATAACTGTGAATGAAGGGACAACAAAGACTATGTTCAGAGAGGAAAAACAGAGAGTCTTTCATGAGGAACATAGCCTTCCTTTCTCACCCCCCAACCAAACCATATTGCAATGCACTGTGAGGACAGCAGTGCATGACTTTTCTCCTGTTTCTTGAATGCAGCCAAAACTGCTTTACTGGTAAGGCAGTCACAAAGTGGACAGAGTTAGAAAGTCCAACTTGAGAGACAGTTGTTAACAACTTTCAATCTATACTTAAATTTTCTTGAGAGAGCGAGAGTTTTATTGAAATTTCCTTCAAAGGGTAATCTACAGTTTACTCTGATCAATACCTAAATTGAGGCATTTTGTGGCTTTTGTTTTCATAAAACAGATTTAGAAACCCTGCTAATGGCAAACTAGTACAAAAGGATGCCCCACTCCCCTGTCGGATGGAGATAGCTACACACCTACTCTAGGCAATGAAAGAAGAAAACACATAGTGGGGAACTAGAACACATGCAGTTGTTTATGTTTCACATTTGCCATTCAACCTCCATTAAGGGTAATGAGATTAAGGAGGTGGAGAATTTTGTTAAGAACCTCTGGCTTGTTGGGAGTTCCACTGAATAAGAAATTCTGATACCTAATCTGGGTGAAGTTTCAAAGCTGTACACAAGCTGGAAAAGATTCTGCCTCCAAGAGATTTTTGCCTGGGGGAGAATCAGAGACTTAAAAATTAACGTTAAAGACTGGAGTTAGTATAAGTTATGTTTACGTATATAACTTCTTATAGATAGTATTTGATGTCATTTTAAGATTAAATTCTTTTTGCTTCTAAACTGATCCACACATTGGGATAGGGATTTAGCTCAGTGCTTCTGCTACCTGCCTTGCAAGTGCAAGGTCCCGTGTTTGATCCCCGGTACCAAAAAAAAGGGAAGAAATCTTAATTGATCCACACATATTTTTAAATTACACAAAAAATTCACGATCTCTTATTAAAGCATATGTTTTCTAACTTGGACCATATATCCATTACTAAGGCATTTCTATTTGCTGGTTCTATGCCTAAGGGAAGGAGGAATATGGTATCTTTATTGTACAGCTTGTAGTGTACCTGGCATGGGTTGGATTAACTAAACCTATTTCTTGAGTCCATGGCTCCATTGCTTTATGATACTTTTGTCTAGAACAAAAGTTTCTACAATCTCTCTCAGTTTCTTCCAGTTTTAGTCCATATTCCAAGTTTACTTCTTATCAAACTATTTTTTCTTTCTCTCCTTATTTTCATGATTCTTCATCTTATCCCATCCTAAATGGTATACTTCTTATTCTTCACTGTTTTAGATCTTTAGGCTTACTGTTATGTAGTCTTTCTTTGGAACAGAAATATTCCTTCTGTATTTATCTATAATTCTTTACCCGAGACTGCTAGCAACGGTTATTCTTTTTTTTAAAAAGTATGCATTTAAGCATATAACACGGAGACAAACAGTGGTTGAAAAGAGGCTACCCCAAAATATGCCTCTTTAGCATGTTATTTTGAGTTAAAGGGACTTGAAAAGCAGCAAGTGCAAGAAGGGCATTCTGATTTCCTATTTTCTTCCTGAAGACAAATGATAAAACTCCTATGTGAAAGATGCCCCTTGGGCCAGGGATTTAGCTCAGTGGTTCTGCCACCTTCCTCAAAAGCGCAAGGATCTGAGTTCAGTCCCCGGTACCAAAAAAAAAAAAAAAAGATGCCCCTCTGCAAGAAGAGAAAAGAAACATTCTTATCACCAGAGATTAGGTGTTGAGGCCAGGAAGAATCTGTGTAAACAAGTGCAAACTGTTATCTTTAATTACCTTCTTGTAATTGCTATTCTTTTCAACCTAGTATATGTACACTTAGGATAGGTCACTTCTCTGGGTATTCATTTTCTTTTAAAAGTTCCCATATATATGTAAAAACTTTGTATGTTTTGCTCCTGTTGATCTGTCTTATGTTAGTCCCAGTTGGAGACCCTAGGAAAGTAGAGGACATTTTCCTCCCCTACACAATATTGCCTATAAGAGAATTTACAATTCTTTGGTATAAATATTTGATTGGTAAACAGAGAAGGGAATGAAATAGTTTAATAACTAGTAGCCAGATTTTCCTTTAGCTTGAAAAGTAAAAGTGGCATAAAAGGATACTATAGGATATGTTGAAACTGTAATTACCAGCAGGCAAGCCTTCAGTAAAACAGTGAATTCGATAGAGTCTACGGTACAGTTTTTTGAATGTTGGAAAGGCAGCTGTCCGCATCCAGACAATGAAGTCATCATTGAGGAATCCATTGTTTTCTGTATTGTTTCTATCCAGATCATAAATTGGTTTAGGCCAGTATGGGGGCTTTGTGTTTCCTGAGGGAAGAAAACAAAAGATATAGTAGAGAAAAGTAGTCTATTTCCTTTAGTTTTCCTTAGAGTGTAGACAATGAAAGAACAGCATACACGAGAAAAGAGAAGTAGAAATTAGACTGTTCCAAATACAAGGGTGTCTGTGTAAGCTATCTGAGTATGAATCCATTAAAAATAATAGTTTTAGCAGACAGGCAGGTCTGCGGACAAGGTCGCGAGGTCACCAGTTGCACTGAAAAAAGCGAATCAGTAGAAGGAAGCTCCCCCACTGCCATCCCAAGCTCCTAGGGCAGAGAAGGTGAGCTGTGTGGGTGCCAGAAGCCCCCCCCACCCCCGTGGAAATGAGAAGACACATAAGCAAGCCTCAAAAACAGACTTCTGGATCACCTACAGCAACCCCAAAGGGAAACGAGATGGAACAATCTGGTACCCAACCACCTGTACTCTCTGAACTGGCAACAAAAGAGGATCTGGGGAAAATGAAATCAGAAATAATTACTCAGATAACAGCAAAGATT